AAAAAAAAAAAAAAAAAGAAACACACGAAAGAGGCTGTGCTGGCCCAAGAGCTTACACTCCAGTCTCTCTCCTGACCTCACTGGAGTTGCAAGGCCACCATTAGAGAACGGTGCCTGCCTGCCTCGCAGGCTGACTATATGTGCCTGCTTACTGCTTGCTGTGGCCTTTGACAGTTCCAGCTTGCCCTGAAAGAACTGTGACATTTCAGTTGTGGGTGAGGCTACTCCTCTATAGAAGTGTATCTGTTGGGAATGCAGTTTTGGGAAGAAAGACACTATTTACAAAAACGAACACTATTCCTTTGACAGCCCCATGGAATAGGGCAAGTGAGTTAGAAAGAACGAATCCAAAGTAGCTATTAGGCCCGGGGAGGCTCAGAAGCACGGCCTTCGGTTTGTAACTGGCCACCATCTTTTGCCAAAACCAATTAATTCCACCTTTTCAATAGACACTCACTAACTCTCATGTAGTTGACATGCTTTTTTTAGATTGAGCAGCAAGTAAAGTGAAGGCTAGGTTTACTGGAGAAGAGTCTTTAACAATGATCCAGGATAATACATTGTGAAAGAAAAGTTCTGGTGTCACAAATTATACCAGAGTATGAAATGTGTTCTAGTAATGAGCCAATATTTTATGATTTTATGTAGTGAAACTAACTTAGCCTTATAGTCTATAGGTAAATATGGGGGGTTAACCACCCAGAAAATAAGTTAGTAGCAGCCTCCTGAGTGAGTTCAAAGGCTGAAGTACCTCAATGGGGGCAAATCCCCATTCGGCTTTGCAGGGCTGGAAATTACTCTAAACTAGGCAGCTTTTCCAAGGGAGAGGGACATAGAGGAAGAGACTTCCAGACTTTTCCATGAATTTGGACTTGTGTCCAAAGACTACCAGGGACCAGGCTGGCTTTTTTTTTTGGGGGGGGGGCAGACCACAGGTCACCTTTAGCTCAGGACTTTCTTTGCTGTACTATGTAAACCTCTGAAATAGCACGCTTTCTTTCAGATCATCTAATTTTGCTTCTCTTCAAACAAGATAATTTGGGGGATATGCAATCAGTGTGAATCCTTTCGTTCCATCTTCTCTTTGCCTCTAGGGAGTAACTGCTATTAAGTTGGAAACTGCCAGATAAAAAAGGAAAATAGGCTTTTCCCCCTTCTCATTGAAAACTAGTGCTCACTGAGAGTGAGTAGTATATTTTACAGGGAGATTTTACTGCTCTAAAAACAAAGAAAACCCCATTTTCTTGTCTTTTGAGTTCTTTACTTAATGACATAGATCTCCATATAGGATGGGTAAATCTTTTTTGGTGCCCAAAGTGTTAAATACTTAGAACAAGAGATTTAACAGTTACTTTAGGAAGCTTAGACCCCATGCCATCTGGTCTGATCATTTAGTCCTTTGGCTTCTATCAGGAATAGAATCTGATAGATTTGGCAGTGTTTCTCCCAAAATTAAACAGCAAAATTGTCAGAGGACATAATGGGTGAGAGGGAGAGAGGGTGCTTGAGAGCAGAGCCTGACAGCAGAGCTGTCAGGATTTCTTCTACTTGATCTGTTGGGCCTGTGTAAATACCTGTCACATGGCAAGGGTCAGGGAACAGCATGGCAGCTACAGTGGCACTTCTCCAACATGCAGTGAAAAGGAGCTATGCCTGCCAGCATGTGCAAAGAGCCTGTGGCCCTCAGAACAAACTGAGGCATGGAAAGGTTTTTACAAGGGGAGCTGAGAAATGCTTGTTAACTGTGGCAAAGAGAAATAGGACAGAAGAGCATTTCTACCACTGCAATGTCTAATTAATTTTGGGGGGGGGAGGTTCTAATTTAAATTTAAGAGCATCAGTTAGTGTCAGCTCTGCCTGTAATGTTCCCAAACTGCCTGTAGATCTCAGTATGCTATCTCACACTGGTAAGAACACTTCAGCGATGGTAACATTTAAGCAAAAGAAAAGTGAAAATAAATTTTAGATTGAGAGACTCAGCACATACCAGGATCACAAAACTTGGCTCCCAGATCCCAGCAAACATGTTACCATGGTGAGGAAATTATTTTGGTCGATTCCAATCTGGATCTTTTTCTTAAGGCTTGAGCATGAGGAGGAAGAAAGACATCCTCTCAACTCCTCTGTGAAAATGCATTTTACTCTTGAAAAGACAGATCCCAGAGATAAGAAAAAGTCCAGCTCACTGGGTGGGGGTTAGCTGGCTGGGTCTTCTGACTCAAGTCTGGCCCTCTGGCCCAACGTTTTCTAGGTGACAGGGGAAAAATCCCAACAGTTTTCCCATCCTGTAGTTATAACTCCAACCCAAGTTCTATAAGTTAAGTGGAGACAGAAATAAACCTCTGATGAGGACAAGTGAGGGTGAGCAGAGTTAGGCATGTACTCTGAAAGCCAAGTTGCATCTGTGGTAATAAAAGTTAGGGTTTGATGAGTTAGCCCAAGATGAGCTTTTCTGGGGAGAGACCTAAGGAAAGGTAATCTTCTCGATTCTGTCTTATACTCCAAAACACCAAACTGTCTTGAGTTCTTTTCTTCTACAGTTCTTGAATTACCCTACAATTTTTCATCTTTTCCACTGAACAGTGCTTCCTGCTCTAAAACGGGATGCAAGAGCTGGACGCAAGCAAGCATGTGGGTAGACCGACCTCTAAAGGCGAAGGCAGGTATCAGGGTGAAGCATATAGAAGCCACGAAGTGCCAAAGATTGCCAGCACCACCAGGAGCAAGCAGAGAACCAGGAAACAGATTACTCTTCTCAGTGGACAGAAAGAACCATCCCTGCCAAAACTCTGACTTTAGATTTCTAGCCCACAGGACTGTGAGACCATTTTTGCTGTTAAGCCACCCAAAGTTTGTGGTACTTTGTCACAGCAGCCTGAGCAAACTAATACAACCACATGGAAAGAAACGGTCACTAACAAGGTCAACTTATTTTTTTAAGACAGATTTTTTTTTCCACATTGGAATTATCCCAAAGAGAAAAAGAAATTTGGTTCTTACTGTCAGGTCTTGGGGAACAGAATTTGGCTTCTTTATGTTGATCTCAATGCTACTGTTGTCTTGTTTCAGCTCCAGTGGGGACCCGTGCACTCTGGCCACTCCTTCAAACATCTGGGATTTGGTTAAGGAGGGGGCAGTTGCCACGGTGGGGGTGGGGCACTCCTTGTCCTCCCCATTGCCACACACCATTTCCCCGTTCATGCTGACTTTCCCATCTACCTATAAAGATCAGACAAAAATCATGCTATTTCCAAGGAGACTCTAACAAGCCACCACATTCAGATTCAATTTAAAACATCATTTAATAATCACAGTTCAACAAAGAATAAAGTCCGTCACAGGTGTTGATGGGTTCTAGAAATCAGGGCTCCTATAACTGCCACCTTTAGATTACATTTCAAGTTCAGCTTAGTCTATGTGTGTTTTTCTTGTGAAGTAGAGCAAATCAAGGAATCTTAAGTATAAATACACATCACATATTCGGGTTCGTAATTTTTCACTTAAGTTCCAACTGCTATTCCATGTGATGAGGTTTTTATTGTCTGGTTACATCTACATTAGGTGGTAGCTGCCTTACATCAGGGATGTTTTCTAGGTTCTCCTGTAGTGGTAGAGGGGGACCAAGTGCTGTGGTATGTTACAATAAATCTTTACTACTAGCTAACTTTACAATCTCATTTTTTAAAAGAATAAAGGCTATGCTTGTTAAAATACTCTGCCCTGTATCTAGGGAAGATGGCAGGGAAGATGGCAAGAGGAAAAGGAGAAGTGAAGCGACTGGTTTATTGGCTTACTGAAAGACATCTAGAAAGCTCTTGAAGTTTGAGGCAACATATAAAATGGTTAGCCCAAGTTATGAGCGAGAGGGTCTATGGTTGAATAATAGGCCAACTACTTCACAGCCACGTAATCTTCAGCCTTAGTTTCCTCATCTGCAAAATGTATAATATGCATCTCCCTGATAGTGCTGTTAAAGTACTTCCGGGGATGAGTATACAAACTGTCTAGAACAGGACCTGACACGCTTTAAGTAGGTACATATTAACTCATATGATTAACTAGCCTCCTAAAATCTTTCAGAAGGAATAAAGAAACACCAAATATTAGTTAAAGTTTATTTTCCTTAGGTTGGTGGCTGGTAATACTCTGTTGTCTGTATAAAAAGCAAATCGAAATCACAACTGAGCACATACTGGCTTCTGGAAGTCATGTCATATTTTTTTCTATGTTTACTAAGCAAAAATGAGTCATGATTTTTCCAACAACCCAATACATAAACATGACTGAAACAGAAATTTTCCAAAACAGTATCTACCTTTATGGCATGTGAAGCACCGTGCTGAGATGAAAAATAAACTATATTCTGTTCTATTTCATCATTTAAAAAATACTGATTCTAAATCATTAAAGTGATTCTATAATTTAGCAACTGGTTACAACTCTCAGTCTGAGAAACAGCACCTTCTACTATTTCACTGGTCTCTCTTTAAACTGCTCCTCAGTGAACAGCTTCCTGTCAGCTTATTTTACATAACTCTGATGAGGAAAAAAACCAGTCCTAGTCAGCTTTGAACAAAGTGATGTTATTTCACTGTTTCTCCTACAGTGGCAATTTCCAGGGCCCCACGACGTCAGTGAGGACTTAGAATACTCAGAAATCTGTGCACTGGGAAAGTGACTGAGCTTGTAATACCTACCTTCTGTGGACTTCTACAGGTGCACACACACACACGCACACACACACACACCCCACATGCACACTCGGTTTCTGTCCTGGCACTGTCTGGTAACAGTTGTAACATTTACATATTACTTTGACCACAAACTGTAAATGGGGTTGAGCGCATCAAAGTCTATGGCTGAGGTGTCAGGGCTCGCTGGCAGCCAGGAGCAAACCTAACTTCTAAACAGACTCGTGACCTCCATGAATGCTCTTCCCAAGACCCATACATGGTTGTGCCATGTAAAGAACAGGGTTTTCTGAAACCCAAAGTCTTGCCAGTAAGTCATCTATCCTAATTTTTTATTTCAATGACCACATTATTACTATTTAGAGGAGAAGTGAAGTGGACATCTCATTTACTTCATCAGGTACCTTGGATACCATGTTAAACCAATGTCTTTCCTACCCCTGTTTTCAGTCACTTCAACTTCAAAACTTCTTGCATGAATGATCACAGTTCTTCATGGGCTGTAGTAAAGAGCTGCTGCAGGTGCCACATCTGAGCATGGCCTGTCAGTGTGTGCATGACTCTACATGATGAGTAGCTCATCAATGCAGGAAAAAATTCATGCATTTATTCAATAAACACTTGCTATATATCTGGGTATCTACTGTGGGCTCTCTGGGATCAACAAAGATACAGCTCTGTCCTTCAAGGGACGAACACTTCAATTCAACCCAGATGAAACAGATGCTTTCATTTGTTCTGTGGTAAGGCATAGATTGTAAGACACTTGCAGAGTTATTTAAGCCAAAATCACAGTGACAATGAAATTCAACAGGGAGAAACTCAGTATCACACTGCACAGTTAGTTCAAGAAAGCAAACTTCCTGTATATCACATATACATGTCTCCCAGAGGTGAATTCCACCTCTGTCTTCTATTACAAAGCCACATGGTATGCAGGGACAACAGGAACTGATTTTTATTTTATCGTCAAATTCCTAAGACAAAGGATGGGTGCTTCCTTATGATGGTAAGGAAAATAGCGGAATTTGAGAAAGTGGAGGTATTTGGTTGTTAGTCCCTTTAGTTCTGGACACCATTTTACACTGGTTTTCTTCAACCTGCTTTCTTATAAGACCACAGTACATAATACATGAAAAATATGTGTTAACTGACTGTTTACGTGATCAGGAAGGCTGACCTCGAGTAGAATATTCATAGCTAGGTTTTGGAGGGGGGGAGTCAAAAGTTATACATAGATTTTTGCCTGCATGAAGGGTTGGTTCCCCTCACCCCCATGTTGTTCAAGGGTCACTTATATTTTTATTTAACCAAAGACAAAGTTTCATTTTAAGGCATTTGCATTACTTTTAGATCTCTGGCTATATCTAGATATTACCAAGTTAGGGGTTCTCTTATACTACTCTAGGGAGTCCATGCCAATATTCCAAACCCAACAGCAGCCTTTGCTCATGGAGATGATGCAACTATCAGTTTCTTAGGAGGCTGTTGGTACCAACCCAGGAATTGAGGGAAACATCTACTCTTTAACTATTTGCAAACCAAATCTCCAAAGACAGATACTTCACAATATAAATGGTAACACATTTATGTTAAGCAACATAATGTTGCTTCTGCTGGTTAATAATAATTGCATTTTCTTCAGGCAAGATAGTCCTTCTCCTTGGAAAGAAGAGTGCTACCTAGAATTCAGTTTTGTTTTGACTCTGAAGGAATGCATCCTACCTTAAAGGTCTTCAAAACCTCTTGAGAGTTTTTAGGCTGAGAGTAAGGCTTGGGTGTCAGCATAGGCACTGCTTTGGGAGTGACAGTTTTGCTTGGAGACCCACTGCTTGCTGACACGTTGGGATCCAGAACGCTGGTGCGAGCGATGGTGGTCTCCACAGTGGCAGTGAATTTGGGTGGAGGCAGTGACTGTTGCCGCAAGTATTTCATGGGGTTGGGATCATTCAGGAAGGAGGGTAAGTTTGGCTCTGTGGAATGGCTTCTTTCCAGAATTTTTGGCATCTCCAAGCGTTCAAGAACAGCTTCGCTGATAGTGAATCTCTCAATGTACTGCTGAAGGATCCCCTCTGCTTCTTCCTGGGATCGCGCATTCTTGTATGCCTCGTGCAACTCCCTCTCTCTTCTCTCTCTAAAGTGTGGCCAAGGGGGGTTAATTAAAAAAAAAGGTCAATAGTCACAATTGCAAAGAAGACCTTGGTTGCCACCAAGGTAGAGCTGAAAGAATAACACAATGAGTAAATAATATTTGTGTCAGCCTTTCTGATAGCTAACACATTTTAGGACAAACACATCTAGACAATGTACATTAAAAAATAACAACAGAAAGAACCCACTTCTCTTGAACGATTTCTCTGTAGGTTTTAATGCTTTTCCTCCGTTCACGTGTCCCATCCTCGCCAGCCAGTAACTTCTCCATTTTTTTTCTTTCTTCCTCTTTCTTGATTAGATCCTGAGAAGCACTTCTTCTACGGCTCTTCCAACGAGCTAGATCCTGTGGGGGTGAGAAATGGGTATAAATAGAATAGACTTTTTTTTTTTCTGCAGACTTTCACATAATTCTGATTCTACTTATCAGCGTTTAGGGTGCATTAACTGGGGATCAGGCACTAGGCGAGGGCATTCACATACAACCCAGTGCCAAGTCTAGTTGGAATGGGAATGCACAAAGTCAGGGAACATTCAGCTAGAACATTACCGTCCCAGGGCAGCACCTTTATTTAAACACAACAATGTGAAACAGACAATCCTACTCTATGTAAATTTCCAACTCTTCACATATTGTTTCACAGGGCACTAATGAAATAACTTCACTTCTTCCTATTTATCACCTATGTACTGTGAATGGAACTGCTTAACAGAATGGTAGGGTTTAACGGCAGGCCTACATCATTTTCTTAGGAAGGAAGAAAGAAAACAAATGGACTTTGGGATCTTACAGAGCACTATATGTATTAATCCATCTGATCCCTACAACAATCTCACCATAAACTCTGCCAGCTCTTATCACATAATGCCAAAGAGTTAGGTTTCTACAATCAGCTGAGAGGGATTGCAGCTGTGGGAAATAATCCCAGCTCAATCTCTTCCATGTCTTGGAATCTCAAGTTTCTTAGTTTCTCAGTTTCTCTGTATCTGTTTCTTCATCTCCAAAGGGGAATGCGGTGGATGGGGGGGTGGAGGTGATAGGGGTGATATTTATATCTTGTCTTACAACTGGTTGTCAGGTTTAAGTGAGAGAACTCACCTAAGGTAAGGCATACAGTGTGTGCTCTTGGTGCTATGGACATAATTTCTACTACATTCTACTGACTTTGCAGACATTCATATTTTTCAGAAATAGTAAAGTAGGCTCACAATAGCTACTTCAGTGTGCTCTGTGCAACCCCCCCCCATCCCTTTCTTCCAGCTCTTCCCCTGCCAACGTTCTTTGTTCTCAGCACACGACCTCCTCCTCCCCCTCCGCAGGTGCTGAGTGCCTGCCCTGTTTTTTATCCTGCTGTCTCACTGGGTGTGTGGCTTTGGGCAAGTCACTTAGCTACGAGGGACTCATCTGTGAAACTGAGGACAGGAATAGCTACTATCTCACCGACTTATGAAGCGGAATAAATGAATTACTATATGCAAAGCACTTAGTTCCCAGCACTGGTATGTTTTCAATAATGACCATAACTACCGTCACGATGATCAATTTCAAATATATAATTTCAAGAGACATGCGTCTTCCATTCTGCACCCCACCCAGTCGCGCACCTCCAGTTCCTCTGTCTGTGGCCAAGCTTCTAGCAGAGGCACTTGCCAGTTCCCGCTGCATCACTCACTCTTTACGTTGCCATTCACCTTCCTTTAATTTCCACACTTACGGTGTCTCTGATTAAAATCCTCTAGGGGCTCCCTTCCCTGCATGGCTTGGCTTTCAAATCCAAGTGCACCCGCCCGGCCTCATTTTCTGCTCCAAAGGGGCTCTAACCATCTGCTGAGCCGCCTCCCCACTGCCCGCACGGCTTTGGCCCGCACTCACGTCTTGCCATTTGTCGTCTTCTTCCCGCAGCTGGCTGTTTATCAGCTGCAGCTGCTCCTGGCGAGCCCTGCTGTGCGGCTGCACCGCGGCCTCCTCTTCACACCGCATGTCAAACATACTGGTGCTCCTGGGTTTGGAGAGAGCAGAGGGAAAATGGACCGCGATCAGCGCCCGTCACGTTTCTGCGCGCTGGCGTCGTGCCGCGTGGGGGCGCTACAGCATTTGGAAAGCCGAAGACAGCAGCGATTTGCAATCCGTTCCGACCCCGCCGCCGGCATGCTAACACCCCGACCCTTCTCCTTTTGTCACAAAAGCCAAAATGGGACCATCTTTGTCTTCACTGGTGGCTGATCAGGTCAATATAATTTTATGTGTAGGCGCCAAATTGTGTTTAAAGAAGAACTTGAAAAGGTATTTGAAGATCTGAGCTCTTCTCCTTTGGAAATGTTTGGAAAAATAAAGAGAACGAAAAGGTGTAACTTGGGGAGGATTTATGGGGGAGGAGAATGGTATTCTATGAAATTGTGTTAACAGTCAAGGTTTCTTTGTGCAAAAAGCTGGGTTAGATGCTTCCTACATTAACTGAGGTTCTTTATTTTCCAAAAATCCATATGGCCTCATGACTAATACATCCACTTTTTCATACTTTAGTTTCTAAATTTTGAATGCATCTGCTAACTATGCATTCGTGATGTGTATGTTTGGTGTGGTTGTCTTTATTTCCTGCAATGACACCTGTAAATTGATAATGCAGTTGATGGCATCTTGCAGTCAGAAAATAAGATATTTTATTTGAAGATTGAGGAATAAAATCTATAAATCAGTCTATACTTTATGTCCTAATGGCCTCATAATCGTTTGCCTTTATTTTTTGTAGGATACTCCTACATTTACTTTTTTAAAAGATAAGGATTGGGAAAGCCATTTTTAAAAGCCCTGAGACTCTATAAGTAACTTATATATCTGTGGGGACTTAACACATGTTGCACAAGATCACAGGCTCATTTGCGTGTTGCTTCCACGCTTCTATCTGGGGAGGAGGGGCTGTGACTTTTCACCTGTGTATACTCTTATGAGTGTTGTTTAAGAAAGATTTAGCCATGTGTAGAATTAGGTAGGAAAGTCTAACCCATGGTTAACTTCATGGGTCAAAATTCATTTACATTGATTTTCTAGAAAGACTGAAATTTAGTTTATTGCTCTTTTCAGAGTCAGGAAAACAAAATTTTGCCTTTATATGTTTCGGTTCAGACCATTTCTTTTAAGACAATTTAGTTTTTGCTACGGTCTTAGAATATTTAAATTTTACTCGGCTCATATTCTCTTGCAATCTACTAAATAATTCATCGATGGTGGGAGAGAAAGGAGGCCATGTCCCTAGAATATACTGTCTGTAATCACTGAAGGGTAGAATTTTGGTTTAGGACACAATGGGTGGTCACAGAGCCTGGTCTTCTTGGGTCCTAGGAAGAAAATAGCAGCCAGCTGTAGTTTTGATATTGGTTATCTCACTAGCTGGTCACAGAGAAGATGGGGAGTAAGACCGTCAGAACTGCCTTTTTCCGTCTTAGTTCCTGTCTTTACTTCCATCATGAAGTTTTAACATTGTCAACACAATGCTGGCCAAAAGCTGGTTAGAAAAATAAAAAGGTGAACTCTTTTTTATCCTCTCATATATCATGAAAGAGTATTTTAAATCAGAATGGTTTAAAAAATATACTAGTAAATTGGCCAAAAAAGAAAAGTAAACGAACTATGGGTACTGTCTTAATGCCATTGCAAAGGAAGAAAATAGGCAAGTTGAGGGCTGATAATACTAAACAGAAAGTGGGCTGAGTCACCATTCAGAAAAGTTCCTGCCTCCAAAATGAAGAAGTGTGTGCCTAGGGCTGGGTTGGGGAGCCCCGGAGAAGTCTAAGTTCCGGCTTGTTGAAGTGACCTGCATGAAACCTGTGCTTCTCAGCACAGTAAGTTCCTACCCTTGGGCTGCACAGCCCAGGGACCTCTGGTGGTGATGGGTGGCATTTTTGAAGGCCAAGTGCAAATGACCGCAAGGGGAGTCTGGACTGGTCTCTGGGCCACAGCTAATATAAGGGAATTAAGACTAAAATGGCCTCTGTCTGTGACACCGCACAGATTCTGCTGGTGGGGAGAGTGTTGGAAGGAGTGTGGAAGGGAAGAAAAGGGCAAGAAGGTGAAACTAAATCTATGGAAACATTCTTGGCTTGCCGGGAGGCCGAAATTTCTCTGCCTGTGTGGTAGGTCTGGCCCTGACCTGAGTTTTCCTTAAAGGGCACATCTTTTTTTGATTGGGTTGTATTTTAAGAATGTGTCAATTATGAGTAAATAGAGACCACACCTGTAATCATCCTTAAAGATTTTGAAAAAGGAGATAATGAGGGAGTAAACTAAATATATTTGCAAATTTCTATTTAAAAAATAAGCTCCAGATAAAAGCTTTTTATTTTGTTTCCCACATGTGTCTAATCCAAGCAAGACATTTGGTACTTTGGATATTTCTAGATATCACCTCTAAAAGGAAGTTCCTTTTATCCTTCTTAGCCCATGAGGCTAATTTTGGTAAATTTAGAGAAAGAAAGGAGTGGCCACCCCTTTAAAAAATCTTTAACTTTTTCTGTCGGTGAAGTTTCATATTCAGATACAGGGAAAATTCAAAAGCTCTGTAGTGCTTTTTTTTTTTCCTTTCACCTTTCAAAGTTTTCAGAGATCTATCTTAATCAAAATGCACAGTGGCTTTGCATTGTTGCAGAATCAATCTGTGTTATGAAAATGTTTTGTTATCCCAAAGCAGTGGTTTTTATATAATCCTTTTCCCCATGAATGTTAAATATTGCCAATGCAGATTTTAAAAGTAATAACTAGGGCTCAGTTTTATAGACTTAACCCTGAGACAGTCAAATTTGGGTGGAATTTGGCTTTGAGAACTGAATAGTCTGCATGTTAGGCCACAGTGGAAACTGAGATCAGATTGCTTACAAGGAGGAGTAGAAATTAAGCTGACACCTTCCACACAAACCTGGAAAAAGTACAATTTAAATCCAGTAAATGTCTGGCCCCATCTCACTGCTGTTAGTGGAAATGACATTTGTGCACTCCACAAGGTTTTTAGACCCTTCCCTATGTGACTTGATGTCACAGCGCAGCCAGGAAGACAGGCAGGAAGATGGCCCTTCACCCCTCAGGCAGCCCAGACTCCACAGGGTCACCACAGGCCTTTCCTGGAGGAATGATCTGGCTCAGCAGAACTGATGGTGGAATCATCTTGTTTCTTATAACACAAATGACTCAAGCCAAGCGGTAGCATTGTGCAGAGAAAGCTTCTGCCTTAGATATCAGTTTCGAGAGGCTCTGCATATGGGAAATCCATTTTTGACAGGGAGTTAAGGTGGTCACAAATGGGAGAGTGTAGAGTCTTTTCAAATGTGGACATGATTCAGGTAACAGGGAATGAGGCTTTGAGAGGAAGGGAAGCCAGGCAGCTGGGAGGTGAAGCCCGAGTCATGCTGGCTCTCTTGACCCAGTGCTTTGCACTGGCATTCGAACCCAGCCCTAGTTTTGGCCTCCAGCGTCCCACAGTTTATTTATTCCAACCTGGAAGGAACTTGGGCTTTTGAATCTGTAATTAGTCATTTAGGATTTATTATCTTAGTTTAAAAAATGTGATCAGGAGAATGCTTCATTGTTAACGTTAAGCCCTAACTTATCAAGAATTAAATGCAAATCACAGAAACCCTTTTGCTAATTCGTGGTTCAGAAGGGGTATCAAGCTCGTAACAGAACAACTTTAACATGCCCCATCTATGAAAAGCAAATGGTAAGTTTTAAGCAGCAGCTGTATATTAGAATCATGCTTAAGTTGCTTTTTTATTCATCTCTCCTGCAACATATGTTGTGCATTCCAACTTCAAGTGCTTTTCTACACAAGTCAGTGAGCTATTCAGTTCACTGTTGCATCAGCTGCATTTCAATTAGTGGTAAGTAGGGAAGCATGCAGTTTAGGCTAGTAATGAATGTATTCCTATGAATACAAGACAACTTACTCTGCGTCATCAGACACAGGAGTTCTCGGACCGTATCTACAAGACCAAATACACAATTAGAAGATTGGCAAGGCAGAAGGGTAACACTTCTGTCACTAAGCTGGAAATAAATACTACCAGTGAAATGTGTCCGGGCCAAACCTTTTTTGCAGATGGTCCTGGAAGAGAAGTGTTATTCTACAATTAGCGATTGTTCATCAACTGCTGAAAAAGGAAGGAAAAGTCTTGACAGTTCCAGAGAATGCAAAATTTGTATTAAATCCAAAGGAGAAATGAAAAACGATCCCCATGCTACCCACAAAGAAAGAATCTGCTCAATATAAACACAGAAAGGCTTAGGTGCAACCCACAATATTTAGAGAAGATAGCTTAAAACCAAACCTGCATGATGGTCATTCCAAACAGTTAAACTGTTGATGCATTTCTGCCAAGCAGTAATGGGCTGTAATGGACACCAGCATAGAAGCACACGCTTACTGACCCTTTCCCTGATGTGTTAACGCACTTGCACAAATGACATCAAAGAGTGTCTCTGCACTTTCCTGAAAGCAAACCAGAACTCCAACCAGAACCCCAATCAGTGCCTTCCGCATGCATTTGACAAAAACCACAATTCCTAGAAAACTGGCAGCCTTAATCAAAACCAGACTTGCATGATATTCCATCATTTGAAAAACCAAGGTCTTGCTTCTATTTCCACAATCTTTTATGTTCTGATTATTTAGATCTGTGACATATGCACTTTAAGTGTGTTACAGATACAGCAAAGTAAAAGATCAAATTAGAAAACTGTTAGCACATTACAAGGGCATATTTTAAGCAGATTTTAAAAAAGCCCTTCTCACAACAATTGTCTCCTTAGCAAAGGGGGATTTCAATAGAAGTTTCTTACCCACGCCCTGGAAGGCAGCTCATTTCTGCACTCTGACAGTAGACAAAGAATTATTTGAGTAAAGAAAAAAATGTCTTGCTTTCACTTTCCAATAAATTGAATGTTGGGGTTGTCAGCAAAAATTACCTGGTCCCATGTTCAATTTCATAGCAGTTTCTAGGGGAAAGAGTAATTTCTAAAGAAGTCTTCCTGTTATCTTAGAGAACTGCCCAGAGTACATGGTGCACACACTCATATAAGCTTTCTCTCTTGGGCTTCTCGAGAACAGTCCATATTAATTAATTATTTTCATTCACAGTGAAGGCAACCACAGAATGTAAAATCCAAAGTTGCTGCCTGAAATAGTCTAAAATAAGGCAAGGAAAGGGTTTGTGGGTCATTCCCTTCTGGCTGTAAGACTCCAATAAGTATTTTCTGTTTTTCTGTTTCTATGGGGGAGATTTTCTGTTTCTATGGGGAAGATTTTCAGAAGGTGCCCAGGTTTAATCTAATATATTCAATTTTCCAAAAATACCAACAGATTCATCCACATCAGGAGACAGTGCTAAGGAGTGTTGATTCTGAACTCTGAATACGTGTGTTTCCCTTAGTGAACAAGCCTATTGGAATAAACACCCTGATACAGTGTTTTCTAAATATCTGCAGAAGAGAGCAATTAGTCCTAAAGGATGATTATTCCAGAAAAAGTTAATAGTAAGTGTTTTTGTGTCTCCTTTTGAATACTTTTATTTTAATGAAATATGACATAAACAGAATTGTAGCAGACATATATGCCACATATACATTTTGCTGAATTTTTGCAGATCAAATACATTCATGGGTTAGTGTTATATCCTGTACTATACAAATGGACCTATCTAGTTCATATGTACTGTTTTGAATTTGACTTCTTTGGTACATTTTTTAAATGAAGTTCAGCTATACTGTTGTATCTAGGATATATTTGAATTTAAGTTGTTTCTATACCACACACTTAAAAGCACTTCACAGACATCTCTGCTAACAAATGTAGGTTTATACATGCCATGAAGGCAGCACTTTTCTCTTTGGGTTCCCTGAGTAATGACTAGCCTCAGTCTGAAATAAGTATTTATTGAATACTTATTGGATGCTCTAGAAATCGAAAAGGATAGTGCAGCCTGCAAAGATGACCTTCATTTACCCCTTTATACACTTATGGATTTAAGGAATTTTTCTCTTAAACTAATTTAGGAGTGTTCAGAGGGCACCAGCTTAAGCAGAACTGCCATCGCTGTTAAAGAGAAGATAATTAGATCTTGGGTTTCAAATGGCTTTCCAGTTGTCCTAGGAGATATTGAGAAGTAAAGGTGAGTTAAAAAGTCACTAATAAAGAGATTGTTTTAAATGCAAAATAGGTGAGTCAATAGGCTATTAGAAACAGTGAGTATAAACATGTCACAAAAAAAGCACTTAACATTTAATTACGAAGTAGGGGTGTGGAGAAAGATTAAGGGAATACACTCTGCACCTATTGGTTGTGTTATTGTAACATTCAGCACTAAAAAGTCAATTCAGGATCAATTATTAGCTGGTCCTATATTTCCATATGGGGAACTCACATAAGCTATGAAGTGAGAGGGGAATATAGGTTTACTGTTCATTTAAGATTATCTTCCATCACCCAGCACAGTGTTTTACAGCTGGTAATTACTCAGTAAATATTTCTTGAAAGGAAGCATGAATTCTTCCATAAGTCCTTGTTCACTCACACAGTTATGTCATCATTAATCTGACTACATCTCCCATGCTCACAGTAACCATCCATCGCTTTTGGCTACAAAGCCGACTTTCTGAACTACCGGTAGAGGACAGTGGGAAGCAGCAGGACGTTTATCAGATGTGCCATGTCCTGCATTGGAGTGGGCAGTGGCTTTCCACTCAGGCAACTGAGTTTGAATCTTAAATTTGCAATGTCCGGCTGGGTGTCAGGGCCTCAGTTTCGTGATAGCAAAATACAAATGAAAAGGTGAAGAGGGAGTAAGTGGGGAACTCCTACACTGAAAGCAAGAGGCAGACAATAGACCTCACTTCTTTCTTTCAACCTAACTTGCTTTTTGGTAACCCCCAGATTTGGGTAAAGCCCTGTATCAGGGCACCAGGAAAGTGAGGGTCCCAGTGGGCCAGGCAGGTGTGTGCTACCTCCTACCTCTGAACAGCCAGTAAGCAGGAGTGTGCTACTTGCTTAACTGCTCTCCAGACCTGGCTTCCCATTTGTGAACTAGAGCGAACATGGACTCAAGCTCACTTGTGAGTTATCACGAGAGGATGAACTAGAGGAAGAGGAGGCACTTTGCAGGGCTTCCAGATAGTGAAGAGCTACAGCTATTACTCCTGTTCCCTGAAATGAGTGTTACAAAAAGGCTCTACAGGACAGGGTAAAACACAGGTTTAGACTAAGTGGTAAAGATGGCTAGAACAGCATTTTTGTCATCTGGGGGTTACATAAGACCATCCCTGCTCCTCCCTGTCCCCTCTGTTCTACCAGCTTCAAGGTCCTTCCTGAAGCAGAACTCTACTACTTCCTTTTTTATAGTGGAGCTTAGAATGAGGCAAACCACTCCTCCCTCCTCTGCCCTACACTGAAGAGGCAGATCACACTTGTAACAAAAATATATCACACTCATTAAATAGCAACAGAAGCTTCAACATATAGGAATTTCAAACAGACCATAAACAGCAGGATTATTATTTCTCTACTTGCATTTTAAATCAAGTCAGAACATCCAAAGAAAACCTACCACTAGAAAGCACTACCATGCTTTGTTAGATTAAATTGTAAATTATGTAAGTGTCATATATCTTCTTTGGATCTGAAAATCCTCCTGAAATCAGAATGAAATTAAGTAAGTCAGAGAGAAGTTTTACACCTTTATCTGCAAGCTCCTTGGTGAGCTAAGAATAAGAGTTTCCCATTAAGTCATTTAAAAAATGAGAGTCGGACAGAATGTTTAACAGGACAAGTCACACCTGAACTCTTCTCTCCGTACCCCTTTTCATGCAAAAAAAGAAAAAAAGCACTCCTGGCATACTGGGCTGTTTTAACCATTCTGTCCTGATAGCAGTAGCAGGTAAGTGGCAGGGATGTACCGGAATGCATTAACGGCATAAGCGAAGCATGTGTCAAAGCTCAGATTGGAGAACAAAGTCACAAAGGCACAAGATAATCTTCCATCTCTGAGTAGATTCTTCCATAGCCTGTTGCTTTGCAATGGAACCAGAAGGGCGGTGGCTTGAGTTGAAGCCAGTGTGTCTAAGCGATATCCATCTCTTCTGGCCAGCATGTTGTATTTTTGTGAATGATACAACTTTCCATGGCTTTTCAGTTCACCAACACTCCAGGTAGGAGCTGCTATCTTCTCTGAGCTCTCTTCTGTCCCCCAAACCCCCACTCAGAGGACATGAACAAGGGCAACATTCAGTCCAGCCAGTCAAAAGCTACTTACTGACAAGGATATTTTCAGAAGCGCCACTCGGAGTGTTAAGAGGGAAGAAGCCAATGTCCCTGGAGGCAGCACACAGAGCAACTGAGTATTAGCACCATGGCCTCCATCATGCAGTGGGTACTCACACTGGATGGGGTTTTCTTTCTGGTTTTCATGAGCCCTGAGAGTGAAACTGGGACAGCACCCAACCACATGCAAAAGGCTCAACTCTACCGTGAGGGGACACTGGAAGTGGATTCTGATCTGGGCTGCGCACACTACTTTAAGAGACTTAACTCCATGCCGCGTCTGTCATCAAGAGCACAGCGTGGCTCTAAGCTGCTTGGGGGACACAACAGCCACTCGGCGTGCAGCGGGGCAGCACACCCTGGCAGCAGGCAAGGCGCTCACAGAGGCTGGCCGCGCTCCTCGGATCCTTGAGCCTTTGGCTGCATCTCGGAATCTCTTAGAGCAGCTCCTTCTTTCTCTCTTTTGCTGTTCTGTGGCAGCTGTTCCCATGTAACTAGAGCCAGAGAGGACAGCTTTACTATTAGGCAAGAATTCACACCAGCGGTCTTGACCCCGCCTGTCATCCTTCACCTCCTGGGGAGAGAGGAAACGTGCTCCTCACCTTCCTCTGTCCTCCCTGGGCTTTCGCCCAAGCCGCAGGTGTGTTCTTCCTGGGACTCCAGCACGGGAGC